CTCAAGGATCAACTTTAGCACCATTATTGTTTTCGCTGTATGGAACATTGAACATTTAAATTTTTTTTATTTATAATGATTCACAATTGTATGCACAAACTATTAATTACATTTTTCACAATACAGTGCTTTTTATTTTTTTAACCAAATGCCTTTTATATAGATTTTAGAGAATAGACAATCACATTTGTCCCACCTCATGGCAGTTGCAAACAAAAATATTTATATTAATATATTAATATATAAGTTAATATATATTAATATATATTAACTTATATATATATTAATATATATATTTGTAAAGACTGGAGTACTTTACAAATACAAGCTTTTCTGAAGATCCAGGGGCCTCATTTATCAACAGTGCGTAGAAAAGATTCTATATTTTGTCCTTATATTTACGTACATTCCTATAAGTACAAGTTGGTAGATCACACACATTGTGTAAAACTGTGCTTACGCACTCATTACGCCCACATCTGTGCGTACGCACTGTTGATAAATGAGGGCCCAGGACTTTATAAAATTTGCATCTGAAAGTTATAAGATTTGTCTTAAAGCACGATTAAACCTTTAGAAACTCTATTAGAAGACAGAATTAGCTTGAGCTGTTACACATAATTAGCCCATGCATGTGCTGAAGTTGAGTAGCAAATATGACAAGTCAACAGAGCTCTCACAAAAGCTATAGAGAAGCTATAGTGAAGAAGTTTTATTAGAAATTGTCTAAGGCTACATGAAGATTTCCAAGTCATTAAAAATTCCTAGAGACACAGCTGGTAGCCTTATTCCTTAGCTTAAAATGTGTTAAACCAGAAAACCTTTGAGGGTGTTGAAGAAAAAGCACACTATCATAAAATGTTTGATCACAGCAACTGAGGAAAAACCTGCAATGTACTGCCAAAGACTTGGAAGATGACCCGATGAAAGGAGGAAAAACATCTCAATGCAGAGTATAAGAAGAGCACAAGGCAAGTATGGCCTTCATGTTGGGGCATCTTGCTGAATGCCACTGAGAACATATAAGGCCGACTTGAACATGCTTAAATTCATTTGGATAGACCTGTGGATTTCTGGAAGAATGTTTTATGGAGTGATGTGACCCAAAAACGACTTCTTGGTTGTCTGATCCAAAAAAGGCAAAGCTAATGAGCAGAATAACACCATCTTCATGGTCAAACATGAAGTAGAACTGCTTATGATTGATTCAGTGATCGGTCATAGAATGTTTTTGAGTGGCCTGTTAAGTCTCCAGAATTAAATTCCATTGAAAATATTTTGTTGAATTTGAAAAAAAAAAGCAGTGGCAATGTGGAAGCCAAAGATTATCAGTGATCTGAAAGGTTTTTCATCTGAGGAATGGGCCAAGATTGCAGTAGAGAGGTGACAGAAGCTTCTAAGCACCCCCCAAGCAGTGTTATATTTTTTAACTATAAAAATAATTTATAATTTAAATAATAATTTTGAACATGAATGTTTAGAGCCAATTTGAAATTCTTCATTATAAATCAACTTTACCTTTTTAGAATTACGCAAATGTGTATTAATAAACTTTCTGTAATAGCGTACTAATGCCTTTGTTGGATTGTTTTCAGAAAATTTTGTTCTCTGCAGCAAAATGTCTTGCAGGTCATAATTTTGATTGCAACTGTAACATTGCGAATGTCCTTCAAAAGTGTAATATTTCCATTTGCTTAAGCAAGTAACCTGCTGGCAGGTTTTCAGTCATTAGCTGCATTTACATACTCGCTGGATCAGTTAGTAGGTATGAAACCCTCAGGGCCATATCTGGGGTATGCGGGGCCCTGATGCAGGTTGTGTTCCAAGGGCGGGTCCCTCAGTTGAAATCACGTTTTGAGAATGGGGGGAGGGGGTTGAAGCAGCCTGGGGCCCTTAGAAGCATCACCACCTTTCTCCCAGATAGAGACAGCCCTGGAAGACACCACCAAAGCAAAATCAAGTTTCTTCAAGTCTATAGTGGGACTCGGATGCAGCCTGGGATGACTTGGCATTCTGAAGTCTGTGAAACAGATGTGGGACCACACTTCTTCACTGCAGCCATGGTGGATTTCATTCATTCATAGCCACATACAGTAGTTCCCATGACACAAGTGGCTACATAAATTGGATCAAATTATTTTTTAAATGAATGAATGAATGAGGGATTTTAAATAACACTTTCATTGTGTATTGCTGTACACCCAAAGTGCGTTACAATCATATGAGGGGGTCTCTCCTCAACCACCATCAGTGTGCAGTTGCATGATGTGACGGCAGCCATCGTACAATGGTGCCAGTGCACTCACCACACACCAGCTACAGGTGGAGAGGAGAGAGAGTGATAGAACCAATTCAGGTTTTACTGATATTATACCCTTATAGTGTAAACTTGTTGGATTTTAATCTATATGTTATGTCTTGCAATTCCATTCAGCTTCTTTTCTTTATTTCTAAAAAATTTAACAAGGTTTGAGGTACCCATAGTTTAAGGTACCCATTTTCAGGTTTCTGAAAACAGACTTAATTTTCCCCCAGTTGTAATGCATCATTTTCAGTAGATGTCTGAATGGCAGCCAGTGCCATATACTGCTTCAAATGGAGAAGAGGAAGGTGAAAGGAGGTGAAAGGTTCATTTGGGCTTCTTCTTTAATGTCGTCTTTGGCTAAGCTCTCAAAAGTGAAGTACACATGCCACTATACTGCTGTAGGTCTTTTCTGTTGAGGGGAAGGTGTGCTGAGATGTGCAAGTTTTCAATACAAGATCTGTAAGTTGTTCCTGCAACTGTTTTTGTTTTGCATGCTTCATTTAGCCTGTTTTGAAGAATGCATTAGCTGTATCCTTCGCATCCTTCTGTCACCCACAATCCTTTGCACACATTTCAAATAACGAAAAATAATTAGCTGAAAATTAATCAGCACTGAGCTCGTTTAATTTCATTATGTCACACAAGACAAAAAATGATTATGGAGATGAAGGCATCTTTTGTTTTGTTGTAAATTAATCACATAATGCTAAACTGTGCACAATGTAAACCACTGGGAGATCACAGGTTGTCATTGCCTATACGGCATTAATAGAAAGTCAGCTTTTAATATAAAGTATTCAACAAATTATAATTTTTATATTATTATTGTGGAAATGTGTATGATGTATCCATATGTGCTTACTAGACAATTCCATTCCACTGTTTAATACTGAGCAGGACTCTAGCCATGAAGTCTCAGAAGGACTGGATGCGGAAGGATGTTAATGTGCAGCCTTCTATTTGAGAAGCACCCCTGGATTAGCTGCAGGCATGTTTGATTGCGGTTGCAGCTGAAGTCTGGGCTGAGACCCCTGGACTGGAGGCTTTTCGAGCAATTTAAGAACCTGGAGGACAATGAGTTGAATGTTTAAATTTGTATTAGAAACACCATGATCAACAGTTTCAAATATGGCTCCAACAACTCCACCCTTGTCTAGTTTAAGTCTAAAGCCAAACTGCTTGGGGTGTTCTAAACGTATTACTGTTAGAATGGGTTGTAAGTTGTTCGGTCACATGCCTTTGGCATAACAGGTGGGATACTATCTGGCCTATAATTGTTTAGTTCTAATGGATCCCAAGCTTTGTATATATATATATATATATATATATATATATATAATTTAGATTTATGTTGAGACATTATGACATCATTAATATTATGATAAAAATGACTTTGTCAAGGTTTAGCCATTTTTTGGACTTAAGTTTCATGTGTGTGTTTTTCCTCCATTGTGGATGTGCTGTGGCATCACCCCTTCAGTTTTTGTGTGTTTTCAGCATTGTAACCAACATTTTTGACATATTATGTAACAGAAATCAGATTTTTAGTCTTCCATTGATGAGTCTTCCATAGTTTCCCCATTCATTTCAGTTTCAAACATCCTGAGTGTGACTTTTTTCACACTAACACACAACCAGATATCAATTCAATTTAATTGTTCAGTTGTAGAGCTAGCAAGTGTTGACAACGGTACAAAGTCTCATGTCAATTCAATAAAGGGAACATTTGTTTTTTTCTGCAAATATCATTTGTGTCATGCCCATGGACTGTTTGTGTGTGTTTTGCTCCCCGTGACCCAGTTTCTCCCTCATGTTTGATTGTGTTATTTGGTCCAGGTGTGTGTCATTAATTATCTTCATTTGCTCCAGTATTTAAGTCCTAGTCTGTGCAGTCCGTCTCTGTTGGGTCTACTAACTTGTGTTCATGTGTCATTCCTCGTTCCTTGTTCCTGAGTTGGATTTAATAAAGACTATTTCGTGTATTCCACGGCTCCGAGTTCCTTCCGGCAGCGATCTTGACAATTTGGGGTCAAAAAGACCCCAAACAATTTAGGATTAAACGAACATCGCAATAATCCACATCTAAATATTATGTAACAAACTTTGTCATTTTAATCATTTTACAGTATCTGTATCGTTTCCATCAGTATAGGTAACAAATTTAATGTAACCTGACTCATTTAGTGGACTGAATAAATTAAGTGACATTTACTATAATTTCGTACACATGCACAGGCGAATGCACTTTTCATTTAACAGACAAGATTTTTTATTTTTTTTTAAATGCACCCAGCACTACAAGGGAGATAATTAATGTAAATTATATAGATTTATAGCAGGTAAATCATTTTTAATCAAAATTTTTTTCAATTCGAACTTGGTAACAGCCTAATAGATTTTCCTTTTGTGATTGACCTACTCTGTTTCATTTTCTACTTTCAGATCTATTCTTCGGTTATTTCAAGTTTACTGTAATGACCCTGTGAGGTACAAATTTTTTACGACATAAAGACATTTTTAACGTAACTTGCAGGGTACACCCTTTATTGTTGACAGAGTTAGACCGTAAATCTGATGCTGTAGTGCACGCTACAGAGATTCGTCACCAAATTACACCTGTTAGACTGCCACACCTTACCTTACAAACGTCAACACACCTTATATTTACTGGCCCAATTTTTGTCTTGTCAGTCTGTAAACGTTGAACGAAAACGCATCACATAGAGCATTGCAAGGATTACTGTAAGGACTTTTGTTCGTTATTCATGGTTATGACTTTGAAGAGCGGGAGAAGGTAGGTCACTGAATGAATGAAATATTAATTAAAAAAAAAGAGCCTAGCCTATAATGAATATTGTATCAAGAGTTAGATAGTAGGCATAAGCGTACACATTTATATGGTAGGCTATACATTTTAATTGACATGCGTTACAGTAAAATATATTTTTTTCTTTTATAGATAAAGAAAAAAAATCTTGAAGCAAATATAACTGAAAAATAAAAATGTTTCATCCAATTTTGCGAAGGAACGTTATCCAGGGTCTCCTAAAGCGTGCGTAAAGTTACTGGACATCACTTAACGAGAACCTCGACCACTCGCAAATCTATTTCATGCATCTATATAAATGCATTTCGTATTTAATTATAAACATTGGCTTTGCAATAATCAAAAAAGCATTCATACACTTGATTTTGTCCCCTTGTTTTTGACAAATTGAGCAATGATGTAATCTAAATATGTAAATTGTTCATGTAAAATGTTAATACTAATTGTGGGGTCCCATTTTCTTGTAAATGTGAAATAAAATTAATTGTAATTAATAAAAGTCTTTAAACCGATACACAACAATCTGTTCATGCCATTATTAAGATGACAGGCATAACATTTTGGAGCCTATTTTAATAGAAATAACTGTTGTAGTTAAGTACAGTATATAGTAATAATTCTTTAAAATTTACAAGAAAATGTGACCCCATTAGTATTACTTTACTTTTAGTCATTTAGCATACGCTTTTATCCAAAGCGACTTACAAATAAGAAAAAGTAATTAAAACTAAAAGCTAAAACTCTATAAATACTATATATATATATATATATAATATATATATATATATATATATATATACATACATATATATATATATATATAAAAATACATTCAATATATATATATATATATATAATTTCATTTCCATTTTGTATGTTGAAGTACTGAAATAACTCAAATTAAATAAAACTAAAACGTAATAAAAAACCTATATAGACATAATAAAAAACGAATAAAATGACAACATTACTACAACTGTAACTAAAACTAAAATAGATAACTAATACAATATTATTAGTATTAAATAGTATTAGCACATTTATTGTCGTCATTTTACATGCCCTTTCAGATGTAGGCCTGTTTAATTATAAAAACCTTTATATAATCTAAATAATATATAATTTAAATAATCTATAACATTAAACTTATTGCATGTGTCCTCTAAACCATATGTTTTGGGTATTGAGACATTCAACAGAATATCTGATTGGAGATAATTACCTGTGCAATTCTGGCCAAATTAAAGATACATTGTGTAGATATCTGCAGATGTGATAATTTAAGCATCATTAATCACCCCTTGTGTTTAATAAAAAAAAGGAGAATGAGCACTTTTGCTCTTAAAGGCACAATTTTTCGCCGCTAGAGGGCGTGTATTCAAAATAAACAAATAGACAAAGGCGTAGTTTGATGACGCTGTGACTAGAGGGTGCGTATTCAAAATAAACAAATAGACCAAGGTGTAGTTTGATGACGCCGTGACTGAGTATGGAATCATGGGAGTTGTCATCTTCATCCCCACAGCCGATGCGATCCGACGGGACTTTGAAATCATGAAAGAAAAAAAAAAGCAGAAATCATGTTCATGGATGAGCTAATGATTTATTAATGTATTAGAATGAAGCATGGTGAGGCTGAAAGCCATCGAAGCGAAACGAGGCCGCTGAACGAGTGCGACACACGGCTCGAAAGCAGCGGAGCTTTTATTATGCCACAGTTGACCGCTTCCGCTCCTTCCGGTCCTGCGTATGTGGGGGAAAAAAAACAGCTGTTTTATCATACTAGATACATTTGAAAGTTTTGTTATAATGCTACTCTGTGCGGTCGTCACCGGTCTATTAAAACACACAACATATTAAAGCG